GTATAATAGAAAATAGTAAATTATTATATAATAAATTATAATAATATATTTAATATATTATTATATTAAATATATAAACACTATATTATAATACAATATTTAATATCATAAAAATACTACAATAATATTTTTATTCTAACTAATAAAATATATATTAAATAATATAAAGTAATATTATAATAATATAATATTAATATTATAATCTATAAAATATTATTAATCTCATTGTCCCAATGAATAACACATTAAAGTGAAATATCAATCTCATTGTCCCAATGAATAACAAGATAAAGTAAAGTACTAAAAATTATCTCACTTACCCTAAAATTACACCAACCAATAAGCGCCCAAGTACGCATGTGATCCTCACTAGATAAGTCTTGCCCTCAAACTCTAGTTTTCTCCACTCTTTAGTTTCCACTTCGTCTTTTGAGAAAAGAGAAACTTTTTTGCTTCTCTTACTGTTTTTACACCCAAAATTAACATCATCCTTCTCTCACACAAAAACAAGTGAAATTCCACCCTGAAAAAGTTGAAGTTGAAAAAAATGTTCTCTCCAATTTTTGCGTGAGAATATTGTTAGATATTTTGTTAAGAAAAGACAATTTTGCCTTCATGAATAGTAATAAAATTTTATAATTAAAACATGTTTTAATTAGCAATTAAAAATATGTGTAACGGCTATATAATTATGGGGAACGTTACAAAATTTATGACGAACGTTATGGAATTAATTACGGGTTTTGTAACGTCTTTTCCAACCCTATATATATCCGTATGTTGAGCTCAAAATGATAAGGAAAAATATACAACAAGTTTTTCTTGTTTTTCTTCTCTCCCCTACATATTATTTTCATCTACATCTTAGTTTTATTTTATGGGCAACTTCCTTCATCTGAGCTGAAGCTCTGCACTCTCGCCCGAGTGTAGAGGCCGGCCGTTTCCGGGGGTTTTTACCGCTAGGGGGAGGGAACATCTGCGTAGGGGGAGGGAACATCTGCGTCAGGGCGATAGGCGAGTTCTCAATCTTCTAGGGCAGTGAATACACGACTGCTCCCGTCAGGCCTAATTTTTCTTATCTCTTATTTATATTTGCTTGTTGTGGCTATGGAAGTTAGCTGAGAAGCTCACTAGTGAAGATAACAAATTTCTCCTGGCAACAGGGCCGGGCCTGGGCTATGGCAGGGGGCGTAACCGCACAGGGCCCCGCTGAAAGGGGGCCCCAAAATTTCATAGGGTCCATTAGTTTATTAAATTTTGTATGACCCAAAATCTGGCCCAATAATATTTATAAGCTAAAACTTAGTCATTGAATTGAAATATTGAATTGCCTTATTAATTGCATTATTGTCGTTTAAGTTTAGTTTATTAAATTTTGTATGACCCAAAATCTGGCCCAATAATATTTATAAGCTAAAACTTAGTCATTGAATTGAAATATTGAATTTCCTTATTAATTGCATTATTGTCGTTTAAGTTGCCGAGAAGCACGGGATTGATTTAATCAATCAAACTAACTAATCCCTCCTATAAGGCTATAATGCAAATCTGGAGAGTGGACTCCTCTTTTTTTGCAACAAATTTTATTCAGCCGTTTGACATGTAATTTTTTAACCGTTTGATATTTAATTTTTACTCCTAACATTAAATAATTATTAATCTCTCTCCACTATATAAAGGGATTATATTTCATAGGATAATCAAGAAAAGTTTGTCTATTAAACTTCTCCATCTAAAATTTGTTCTCAAAGATACATTGCAATTATTTCATTGGCTATTTGGGCATTGTCATACACTTAATCAGGTGCTATTATTCCTTTTCTTTTTACTAAGTTATTTGATTGTAATTGTTTCTGTTATTTGTCTTAAATCTCATAGAATTGTTTAGTTATTTATTTAAAGAAAATGGCACCTCGAAAATATTTATGCGGAAATGAAAAAAGAAAAAAGAAAAAACGAGTAGAAGAACTAATATAGTCACAAAAAGGAGCCATTGATAGATTTCGAAAATATTTATGAATAAATGAAAAAATAAAAAAGAAAAAAACGAGTAGAAGAACTAATAGAGTCACAAAAAGGAGCCATTGATAGATTTTTATCAAAAAGTTCTAACATTCCTGTAGTTAGTGGATCAAATGAAAATTTAAGTGATGAACATATTGTTTCAAGTGAAGATGTTAATGAGCAGTTAGGTGATGATCATGATCAGGGCCAATCTTTACCAAATTTTCATGATGATAATACTATGCAGAGTGAATTTAATAATGAAAATTTAGGTGATGATAGTCAATCTTTACCACATTTTGATATATATGAACCTAGTACTTAGAAAAATCTTGATAACAAAGCTAGAGACATTTTAGTTGAGAAGGGATTTGACAGAGAATTGAATATTGACTTTCCTTTAGACGGAGACCGTAGGCATTTTTCATATGCACATTATTCTAGAAAATTGAGTAATGGAGAAATAAGTGATCGAAAATGGTTGATTTACTCTAAACTCGTTGATAAAGTCTTTTGTTTTTGTTGTAAATTATTCAAATCTAATAGCAATACGACTTTATTGGCAAATGAAGGATTGAAAGATTGGAGTCATATTGGCAAGAGACTATCTGACCATGAAAATAGTATTGAGCATATGACTAATATGAGCTCTTGGAATGAGCTAAGATTAAGGTTGGGAAAAAAAATGAAACAATTGATAATGAGTTGCAAAAACAAATTATGATGGAAAAAGAACGATGGCGACAAGTTTTGATTAGAATAATAGCCGTCATAAAATGTCTTGCTAAGAATAATTTGGCTTTTCGAGGATCTAATGAGAAGCTTTATCAAAATAATAATGGTAATTTTTTGGGACTTATTGAGATGATTGTAGAATTTGATGTAGTAATGCAAGAGCATGTTAGACGTGTTCAAAATCATGAAGTTCATTATCATTATCTTAGCAACAAAATACAAAATGAGTTGATTTCTAGTTTAGGCCTTGCTGTTAGGAGCTCTATCATTAAGAAAATTAAAGAAGCAAAATATTTTTCTGTGTAGTTAGTGGATCAAATGAAAATTTAAGTGATGAACATATTGTTTCAAGTGAAGATGTTAATGAGCAGTTAGGTGATGATTATGATCTTGATGTTGATGATATTAGAGGCCAAGGTTATGATAACGGTTCTAACATGAAAGGTAAACATCAAGGTGTTCAGAAAAGATTACTTGAAATTAATCTGAGAGCATTATATATGCCATGTGCTTGCCATAGTCTCAATCTTACTCTTAATGATATGTCACATTCATGTGTTAAAGCTATCTCATTTTTTGGAGTTGTGCAACGTATATATTCATTATTTTTGAGTTCTACTAAGAGGTGGAAGATTTTAATTGATAATGTTCCTTCATTTACTGTGAATCTTTGTGTAATTACCCGTTGGGAGAGTAGAGTGAAAAGTGTAAAAGCCATTAGATTTCAAGCTCCTCACATAAGATTGGCTTTGTTAGAATTATATAAAACTTCAGAAGATGCGAAAACAAAGAGTGAAGCTGAAAGTTTGGTCACTGCAATTGAGAACTTTGAATTTTTACTTGGTATGATTATTTGGTATGATGTTTTGTTTGCTATTAACATGGTTAGCAAAAAAATTACAAAATAAAAATATGAATATTAACACTACTATGAATCAGGTGAGAGACGTGATGTTATATTTTGAAAATTTTAGAAATGATGGGTTTGAGAAGAGTTTGGATATTGCTAGAAGTGTTGCATTTGATATGAATGTGGATCCTACATTTCCAACAAAACGTCGTATCATTAGGAAAAAACAACCTGGTGAAACTGATCATGATGAAGAAATACAATCCACAGAGGAATCTTTTAGAGTTAATTATTTTTTAATTGTTGTGGATATGGCAATCAATTCATTAAAAGAGAGATTTGAACAACTAAAGACATTTGAAAGTATTTTTGGGTTTTTATGTGATTCAGATACTTTGAA